CTCAATCTAGCTGAAATTATCGAATACTAATGACGATAACAGCAATGAATACAGGTTTATTTTGCTCACTGGAAACCGCAGTTGCAATAATGTTTATATCTTCCCTAGGTCATAAACAAGAACTGAAGTAGTTAATACTTATACTTCACTTCAGTATATCTAATTGGTATACAAACAGGGTGCTTAATAAAACGAAAGATGGATAAACACACTGCCTCACTTACCGGGATTCAAAATTAAAGCCTAAAAAAATCCAAAACCTCGGCATTTGGTAAACAGTGCCACACAATATCAGCAACAATAATTTTCCTTACTTTTTCACATTATTTGATTTGTGTTTTTTTACAATGCTTTATATCTCTTTATACTTGGCACTCGTTCTCAATTTAAATATAAAAACATATCTTACAAATTCTCTTAAGTTAAACCTAAAGAACTGGATAATAGATTCCATTCAAAACAAATCTGTGTGATGCAAACCACTGCTTACATTGAAAGATGTTGAAATCGTTTAGTTTTGGAAATTTAAGTCTGATAGTATCGTGCAGTAGTGATGATAAATGCACTGTATTGTAATAATTCAACTATTCCGGTTATCGTGATATTTCACAGCTGTCATATCCAAGCTATTTTTTTGCTCTCTATTTTATATTTTACAAATCATATTTATTTACAAGCTTTTCTTCGGCTAGCTATCTAATATAAACTCCAATAATCATAAAATTTTTTATTCAACTACAAGGAGAATTATTTCTTAACCTCATTTATTGCATCTATATACCTTCACTTTATTTAAAAAAGATTCCGTATTCTACAATGTTATCCATAATTTTATAAGAAATAGTTACTTACAGCCTTTATACCAGTTCAAAATTGAACAATTTTATAGTAAGAAAGTTTTAATCCTTCAACATATGAAAAGGGAGTGCACCTCTGGAAGTGGTAGATTGTCGCTCTTGCGCAGTTCGATGATGACGAAATCGTTCATTCAGTGACGGATCTGAACTAGTGATTGTTGAATTCAATGATTCCCAACTTTCCGCATATTTTTTGCTAACCTGTGTTTGATATTCACGTTCGGCTGCATCTCTGAAACCAGGATTTTAAACATGTATAAAAATATTTTAATAAATAGCTACTAAAGATAAAAGAATCATTATAATATACACAATTAAGGCTTATTGATCGTTACAACAGAAAAAGTCTTCCTGATAGAAAGGTGTCTTGGCTTACAGATATTAAAATAGATTCTTTATTGTAACGCTTTTCTGTTACACAAACTATTATCTACTATAGAACAAAAAGAAATATCCTCAAATCTTACGACGTGTATTATGTAATAAAATAAAAATCAATTAACCAAGAAGCTGGAGAACAAACCGCGCATGTTCAGTAGGGGATCCATGTAAAGGTTGTCTGACTTCACACCTTGCGGTACTCTGCGTAAGTACAGAGGTTGAACAAGTCAGACTATTATTAGTTATTGGTGTGACAGGAGATGTTCCAGTCGAAGTACTCGGGTTATCGTATGCTAACATCGAACGATTAGACAAGTTCATGTTTAAATCTTCAAAATCTGTTTTATAATCCAGCAAGTAAACTCAAATTAAAATACTTAACAATCAGATCTCGTTCTGCATATTCAATTTACACAATAGAAAATATTTTCTTATTTATATTACAATGCAGGTAATTGGTATTAACGATTCAGTAGCGTGGTAAGAAATGTGTACTTACTAACTGAAGATTAACGGAACCATGTAATCTAATAAATTGTAACAACAAATTTTTCCTATAAATCTGAGATGTTATTTGCAAAAAAATCTAATTCTACTGACACAAAACATGCTAACAAATGATAAATAAAAACAAACCATCATTGTTATTGGCATAGCAACATGGCACTCTGTCGTAAATAGGGGGAGGGCGTTGACATTTGGCTGAGCTGGCAATTATTTGTGGACGTTTGTTGAAACTTGACACACCATCTACCTGTGATCTGCAACAATATTTACATGCAGCCATTTCCTTACCAAAATATATTCATTAAATTGTTTTCAAATACATTTTCTGATAATTCAAAATCCAGCTTAATTCAATTTCACAGTCGCACGCTAAATTTGTTTCGTTAATTAATCCATTTAGGATTCCTTATTTTCAATTTAATTTATCATTTCCGACATAAATACCATCCTAATCATCATTTTCTTTCACGTATAGATCACTAAAGCGATGAGCGCATCCATTGGTTCTTACAATCAATAAAACATGTACCATCCAATTAATTTTATTTCCTCTCATGTTCGTGATTCAATAATAATTATTGAAATTCAAGTATGCTTTCTGCAATCTTTTTTTTAAAGGATCATATTCAGAGAAAAGAGAAAAAGGCATCAAAGATGAATTACCTCTTTCCTTCCTGAGAGATTGATAAAGCCTGTTGTTTTGAAAAGGCAACAGGAGGAACAGAGCCAGTCTCTCCAAAACAAGAACTTTCACTTAACAATTCTTCGTGGTCATTAACCTTCGATGGACAAGGAACATTATCGACTTCTATTGGCTTATTTTTAAATATCTGCAAAACACATAATTCAAAATTAGATTAATTTTAACAAACAAATCCTTCAATAATTTTTTGAAACGGTTATAGTGCTCGAAAAACAGAAATAATTTTACAATGAGAGGATAAGTAAATTCTTGACCTTAACAATAATTAAGATCATTATTATTAATGACCCAAAATTTCTTATATAGTTTTTTTTTTTGAAATTAAACAGATCAGTAATATTTAGAGAACTTTTGTTTTCAACATTCATTTATCTTAACAAGTCTATAATTGAATTCTATCATTTTTTTTTTGGTTTTATCGTCTCTTCTTCTTCCATTTCTAGCAATTTTTGAGCATGTATTACTTTTCTTGAATCTTTCATCTATAGCAAATTTGATCGTAGTACACAAGACTTTATTAAATGTTAAAAATACTAAAAGAGCTAACGAGATCATAATTTGCAATGAGCACTTCGACAACAACGTTACAAAATTTGATATCCATAATAGCTGCCATTGTTTCCTCTTTTGGCCTCAGCAATGTTGGTCCAAAACAAACACCGAGATTACCTACCGTCATAAGATTTTCATTGGAACGATCTGCTACCCTGTATTTCAAAAAAAAGAATAAAAGAAAATTGAAAGTGAATTGAAAATAAAAAAAATTCGCAGATGGTTCAGTCAGGCAGTACGGTAACTTCTCAATTTCTGCAGATTCGACAACATACTTGTAATACCTCATAATACTTAAATGTAAATTCCATAATTCCACTTACTGAATTTAATTTTTATAGAAAAAAGAGTCGGTTTTTTCTTTTATAAGTTTAAGAAATTTACTTCCTAAGATGCTCGATGATAATTTGCAACATCTCGAAATGTATTTGCGGTAATTTATAGACAAAATAGTGAATACAAGAAACACGCGTCTTGGAATCCATTTTGGCAGCATTGATAAAATGCGAATGTAGGTCAAACGTCATCAATGGTTCCGGCAAATTCCTACAAAATATAATTTTGAAAGTTATTGGGAATGGTTAAAAGTTATCATAACATTGTTATAATTATAGAAGAATCAAAGGAATTACTTCACTAATTCTTGGATCATGGTGAGAAATTAACACGGTTCTATCAGTTCCACTACTTTATTTTAAACAATCAAAACGGTGCTTTCATGTAAAATACGATCAAATAAAAAAATTGTAAAGCAGGACTAAATCATAGTACTGTAACTGCAGAATTCGGGAGTGCCAAAGTAAGCAGGTCCTTAATCACGAGAACATATAGAAAAAAGTATTACTTGAGTTTCGATTGTGATTACAATCACCAACATTTTTCATTGTCTTTAAAAATCATTTGCAATTATTTCAGAAAATATATACCTTAAAAAAGTTTTAAGAGCGCTTGACAAAGTTTTAATCTCCCATTCATCATCAGCAAAATTAAATTTCTCATGCACAGAACGCCGTCTATCCAATCCAATCTGCATTAACTTTTGCACTTTCGATGTAACACCACAATTTCGATACAATCCTTGCTCGCGTATTCCTAAGAAAAATAAAATTAACTCTATCTTAATTATAAGCATCCTTTTTAGAAATGTATTGCAAAAATTTATAATTTTTTCATATTCATATTCCTTAATTCGTTGACAGACGGAAAAGTGATGAAGAACTGAAAACTGAATAGTAGGAACTTCAATTTGGAAATCTCTCCAACCTTAAGATTTTGGTACCTTAAGATTTTGGTTGGCTTCAGAAAGCAAACAATCAAATTCTTTGTCAGCCTGATATATCGTGAATTGTGCAAATTTCACCTCCACATATTTACTGTTTAGATTTGTATTGGAAAACTGATTTATAACCCTTTTTTACGTCATTTATTGACAAATTTACATTAATGGGCAAAAGAATATCTTAAAGCAAAGCCCTCCGATACGCAGAGAAACATCATTTTTGCCAGCAATATGTTATAAAAAAATCAAAAATCATGGTTCTTTTTTTTTCAAAAATTTCGCAAACATTTGCAAATGTTTCATTAGTTACAAAATTTAAACTTTCTCTCCACTTCCAATAATATTTATTTAATTTAAACTATCCTTCAAATTGAAAACGATTGATACAATGTGCAGGAAAAGTGCAAAAGCAAAAAAAGTCATATTTCTCGTAAGGGAAAGTGTTCTTATCACTTGAAAACATGTAATTAATTGGCAAAAAAAATAAAAAATAAATGATTGGATAGAAAACACAGATGTTAAACTAAAGCCATGTATTTGTAAATATCTAATTAGCCTCAACACACTGTTTCTTGCAATATTTAAAGCACATGGCTTGAACGTTAAATATTATCATTAACATAAAGGTGCCGCTCCATTTAATTTCCTGCTTTCACTTTAATTAATCGAAAAAATGAACAAGTTAGTATAATATGAGACAAAGGATCAAACTCGAGTAGTTACAATTTCTAAAGTGCAACGTTAAATTTTAAGATTTAAATCATTACATAACTCGAGGAGCTATTTCCAATCATAGTCTAATAATAAATAATTTATCTTCTCAATCACCAGTAACTGTAATTAAATCGAGGCATCCTTAAAAATGAAGTCCACTCTTCATTAAGATCATAAGTTTACATTCGAAAATATAATTTCAAATTTATTAATCCAAAACTGAAACACTTGTCAAAATTTTTTAATTTATGTTCTGTTTAAATTTTGAATTAATTGCTGACTTTCTCTCAAAGTTCACAAACCTTTTTCCTCTATTGCTTCTATACATTTCCGTACAAAATCGAAACCAACATCATCGAGAGCTGCTGCAAAATTGCCAACATATATATTCAATCAGGCAAACTTAAAGAAGAAATTTTAATTTAACAAATAACTTAAGAAAGCCTATAAAAAATACCATGGCATTCGTCCAATACAAATGCTGGCAGAAATGCACTACCGCAATACACGGCCCTCAAGCCTCTGGTCAAATTGAAAGCTGTTGAGGTACGACTGAGAGGACTAGTGATACCCGATGATTGGGTATATTCTGTGAATGAAGAGCGCATAGAACGTTTAGTGGAGCAGGAAATGGTAATTTGTGAATGATTAGGAGTGATGAGAAAATGTCATTCAGAAGAAATTATACATAAATTTCATCGCTTATGATAACATCATCGTAGTGGTGCTGCTGCTGTTATAAACTGAAACCGATGATGTCTAAAGGGAAAAAGCCCTAATAAACAATTGATATATTTTCAGTCTATCATTTTAAATCTTTTAATTCTTTCGAAATTTAAGTCCCTAGAAGTATTGGATTTCTCCCTTTCTCTAATTCTTCCTTTCACTCCCCCTCTGTCTTATGCTTATTTAAGTTTGCAAATGACGTCAACCAACACGGCAGTTATGTGACATGAAAGTGAATCAGTTGAATAATTGGGGTAAGCAACTTTTACAATCAAAGATTTCTTTCAAAAACATGCCTTTCTGAAGTTTCGCAACTTGATCTAGATAACTTATTATTCTCGAAGATATTTACTAATTCATCTATATAAAACATCAACAATCACATATCAATGGCGCTGTCAATTATTAGGTTAATTAGAATTGCAATAAAAAAACTTTCTTCCAAAAAAAAGTGATCCTGGAGCAGAAAAAATTTTCAAATGATACATTTCAAATAGTGAAATTCAAAGAATGAGGAACAAAACCATCTGTACGTCACTGCTCTTGAAGTTTAGCAGCAGATCTCATTATTATTAAGTTATTAAAAAAAAGGCTTATGCTTTCAGTTCCACCTGTCAATTATAAAACTGTTTCGCGAACAGAACAAGCAAGTATAACATTCAAATCAAAACGATAAACTATTAATAAAAACCAACTAGTTATATGTATATATATATATACTACTTAATGAAGTGAACACTGATTTTTGCAATCAGTCCATCAATGTTATTTGGTGTTCATATGTTATATAGAAATTATAACACTTGCAGCATTAGCTCTATATTTGCTATCAAAGCTTTCAGCAATATAGCTCAAAAAAGACAATGTGTCCAACGGTCAATCAAACGTCAGTTGTTATCCTAATGCTTCCCAAATTTTCGCATATTGATGAACGAGATATATAAACATTGTATAGCAACTGTCACTTATAATTAATGGCAAAGTGACTAAAAGAAATCTCATTTCATTCACTTTTAATGGACTTTGACAACTGTTTAAAAAAGCGAAAAAAAAAATTTTGCCTTCCAACCTCCAAGCTTAAAATTACCATCGTTTAAAAAATGTTCTTCAATAATCATAATTGCTAACAATAGTAACATTGATAATTTTCCTTCTCTTTCTCTCCCACGCTCTTCTAATTTCAATTTTTTGGTTATCTATCGTAAGACAAAAACTGCTCTCAGGATTTTTTTTACATTGAGAGGAAAGCGTTATTTTACAATGAATTCATCCTTAATTTGGACACTTTAATTTCCTTTTGAACTCAGCTTCAAAATTTTTATAATCAATAAGGAACTGAACTAACAATCAGATGATGACCGCTTATTTCTATCAATATTGGTATATATGTCCTCTTATTATTATTACCGATTATATGTTTTTAGCAATAGTAAAATGAATTATTCATGATATAGCTTTATGATATAAAGTGAACATTCGGCGACAAATAAGATGTGCCATACATGCTTAGCCACCACAATTACTGCACACCAAAATCCATACCAAAAAATAATTCAGATAAAAAGATTTCACGTCTATTATAAACCAATTTCTGGAAGACATTTCTAAAAGAGCCAAAAATAGAATATTAATGTATTTGAAATCCTACTAAATCTTCTCTTTCAGAATAAACAAATGTGGGGGATTAATCAACACATCCATCCATTCTTTCTAAAAAAAAGCAGTTAACTGATTGCATGGATTTCTTCTGAAAATGGAAGCTGCACCAGCAAATTTAGTCGTGTATATAGCTCTTCTCACGTATAGATACTTCTTAAATTCTATCTTGCTAAATCAGAAAAGTATCTTCAACAACATATTTTCTTGAAAGTAACCTTAAGACACGATCAATGCCACCTAATTCAAAATGTGATAATACATACATATAAAAATGATTTAGTTATTTCATGGATGCATATGAAAACATAAACATAAGTTGAGATGAACATTAAGATAAATCCAGAATGCGATCAGTTAGTCCTACCGAGAACAACTCAAGTTCCTATTATTACTATTTTCGATGGAAATAAGGAAGTAAACAATAATCGTTACATAACACAGTTAAAGCTAATAACAGTACTTTTACTAATTCTTTTACCAGCGGTTCATCACTCAAAAATAACTATGAAAAGAGCATAAACATCAAGATCATAAAAACTCTGATAAGCTCACATAGCCACCATGGCACACATAAAATGCATAAAATTGGAATTCTTAATTAATTTTTCCTCTGAAAACTAAAAACTGAAGCTGATAATTAAAAAAACTCATCCAATTCTCCAGTAATTACTTCAAAGATCTAAAAAAACGAAGAGCTAAAATATATAACAAAAATAACCAAACATTATTATTGAACAGTTCCACTCTGCTTTCAACTTGTAATTTATTTTCATCTTTTCATTCCCTTCTCTTCCTTTTTATTTTTTCCATACGGTCAAGAACTTCAAAGATAATACTGCTTTTTTCCTACTACTCCATTCAAATTGCATGGCTTTTTTAAAGGCGAGTTTCAGAAATATTATTTGATATGTTTACCACATCTAATAGTATGAACAATTTTTTGGACATTTCAGAAAAAATAAAAAGAATCGTCCTTTTTCTAATCTTTTTTTCATTTCGGAATTTCATAATTGCTGGTGTCAAAAATATCAAGAAATTACATACATTTTTCTATAAAGATTTCAAGAAGATTTTTCAAGAAGAGTATTACGAATAGTATATGAAAAATTTCCTATTACGTTATCGATGACTGGATTGAATGACTTAACTAGTGAAATTATTGAGCCTTATTGACAGATTAATATATAACTCAATAGATATAATGCCCCAGTATTAAATTTTGAGGAAGAATCAAGAAATGATTGCAGAAGCAAAAAGGAAAGTTGGATTATCACTGACAAACAGATGAATATTACTTGACTTTTGCACTGCGTAGATACTTTGTCCGTTGTTTAGAAATGGCATGCAGTACGGTTCCTTTAAAACTTGAAATTTTTAAGTTACTGCATTAAGAAAATCAGATAATCCAAGATTTCTGATCTGAATGACCGATAATACACGAAGAAAAAAACTATATACAGTGAAACATCGAATCATTAGTAAAAAATCTTGAGGATACGAAATGCAGTTTTGCAGTTTTGCGAGTTTTGCTAAACAAACACGCACCAAGAATCAAAAAAAGAAAAAATGAAAATCAGAATTACGCAAATTCAATTTTGCTCTTTGTTACATAAAAGCGCTTACTTCCAAGGCAATTTGATGTCGGTCCTGATCCAGGTGAGTATACCTAAAAAGTATCATGTTGCTGCGCTGTTTTCGAGAAATGTGCAGAAAGAGAAACTTATAATTCCATTTATATAGCAAAATAATAAACTTTATCAATGAATCGAAGTGAAACAAAGAATTCACAGTTGCTTATGTTCTCAAATAGCGTCACAGTCATCAGAAAGACAAATGTCCGGAAATAATGCACAGGTAGCATTATGAAAAAGTATTTCAGGAGTGGCTCAAACGTCAAAATTTCTGGTTCCATAATCTTGCTTTTTTTGGTCACAATAAAAATAATAACAGTATTCAATTATTTAAGTTACTTCCCCATTTGTGAAGCAGATATAAGAACTCGAGATGTTCAAGATTTGAGTTATGCATGAAGCGCGTTATACTGCGCATATAATATTAACTCCAAAACATTTTTAAAATCAGTATTCTATAAGTATGAGTCGTCAAATGTTATAAACCTTACAGGCTCTCTTCCGTCCATAGCATCAAGCCATTGTCGGCGATCTTCTTCGGATAATGCTTGCAGCGTCATTTGCTCCGTACGATCCATTGCTAAGACGTCAAAGCAAAATCTGAAAAATGATTTTGCGAAAAAAAATTAAGATGTATAAAATGCTTTAATAATTGGAATTGCACATATTATGTGTGCATTTTCACAACTTTTGTTTAAAATGTTAACATTTCGAAAAAAAACCTCTTATCGATACTGTCTGAAGCTCTTCGAGTACATGTTTTCAGTTTAAAAGAAACGGATTGCCCAAGCGCACCTTTCATATCCTTAAGACATAAACCATGGAAAGATAAAAATTAACAGAGGGAAACCTGAATTTGGAATGAAATATTACGTAAAACGTAATTTAAGAAAGATTGTTGTGCGGACTCAGTTTCTATTTAGAATGCGAGGAATGTATTAAAAGATAGATAATACAGAACATTTAAAAAAATCTGTTGCTACTATACATAATTTACGAGAGTTCTATCTCTCACATGGCATTTGCAGGTATCTTATCACGGTATGAGTAAAGAAAAAAACACGCTGGAGTTTTGGAAAATAAAATATACAACATAGGTGTAAAATGTGAAATGAAACTTAATCATAGCCAATTTCATCCTTTCTAATCCACAACTATTAATAAATCATAAATCACCAATGATTAGGGCATCGTAACTCTGAAATCCCACTAACCGTCCTTGCCGTATTATTTACTGGAATCATTGTAAATATTCGCGTTTCTTTTTGATATACACAATAATACATAGTCCATCGATTTGACAAGACATCCCTACCGATTGTTTCTGGAAAGAAATATGCAATGAATAAACTCCAAGTATTAAAGTGACAATATGATTATGTCTCAATTATGACAAGAGCATGCTTAAATATAATATATTATTTTGAGATTAAAAATAACCTACTTGGAATTTTACTTTTCTCGTGAGCAAAAATATAGCCTTGTTTAATACTAGAAACGCTCCGAGGCGCCAAATTTTCATTAAAATTGTCACTTTTACCCGTTTGAAATACCTGAAGAATTGGATGTATGCAAAAAATTAATTAAAACAT